AACAATAAATTGTTCTAATAACCTAAACATAAAATAAATTGACAGTTCATACAAAAAAGAAAAAAAATGACATGTAACAATGTTCAAATTAACATAGTTAAAAATATACTAAAACCATATAATGAAAAAATTGCATATTGCATAGCACTATATATAATTGTAGACATCAATGTGTAGACATCAATGTGTAATTTTAGGTAAGTAAAAAATAATTTATTTTATCTTTGATGTCTCTGAAATTTATTAAATACCATATGGGCATCTTCTTTTTGAAGGAATGGAAGAATGGATTAATGCGACACATTTCTCGGGCTTTTAAATGGTGTATTTTTCATTAAAAAAATACTTAATTTCTATATATTAACTTCTTAAAAATTGTTTCAAATACTTTTTTCAACTTTATAATAGTTAGGTCATTCATTTATACCCTCGAATAGTGAACACAAAATCATTTAGTTACTCAACTATTCTACTATTCAGGAAGAAAAACACGGCCTCGGAATATATGTTCTCTCAATATATCTCGTGTATACCAATTAAGGCTGTGTTCGGAGGTGGGTGTTAGGAACACATCTCCCATGCATGGAAAACGGAACGGTCTATTAGGACGTGATTAATTAAGTATTAGCTATTTTTTTTTCAAAAAGGATCAATATGATTTTTTTAGCAACTTTCATATAAAATTTTTTTTGCAAAAAATACACCGTTTAGTAGTTTGAAAAGCGTGCACGCGAAAACGGGAGAGGAGAGTTGGGAAAAGAGAGTACCGAACACAACCTAAATATACCTTGGTGTCCAATACTGTTGTCAGTTGTATCTAACTGTGATCGGATATGTGTATAACAACATACTCCTATATGTCAATTAATTAGATTTTTATGCATGTCAAATAAATACATTTGTGTATACTAGTACTCCCTCCGTTTCACAATATAAGTCATTCTAGCATTTTCCACATTCATATTGATATTAATGAATCTAGACATATATATCTATTTAGATTCATTAACATTATTATTAATGTGGAAAATGCTAGAATGACTTACATTATGAAACGGAGGAAGTAGTACTTATAGCATAGCTGCGTCAGTGTTCAGACGACGATCGATCGATCGATCACCATAAGTGTCGGAATTTGTTATTTGCAAATTCTGTACAATGGAAGTTGACATATATATATATGAACTACATCAAACCAGTCCTGATCATGTAGAAGAAACTCAACTCTCGAGTTTGACTTCTCTCGCCGACAAATGGAACTGATAAAACCATTAATTAGTTATATATATAACTAAGTCTCCAAAAGTACACGCGTATTCCACTATGAACGAATAGGAAGGCATACTCTCCCAGTGAACACATATTTTTAATGTTTACGAGTACACCAAAAACATGAAATAACGTATATCATAAGCAATGATAATTTTAATTTATGAATTAAAACAAAAAGAAGAAAGAAAACATCATACAGTTCATTGTCAACTCTGCACAAAAGTAAATTAGAGAAATAACAAAAGTACTTGTCATCATGCTGATCAGAGATTAATTTGATCATGGCTCGATCCCGGAGATTATTTTTAATGAACCCGCACGATCAAATATACTGAAAAAACCTACTGAGAATTTCAGGAGCAACATGCTTAGATTCCATGTCACATGATGTTTAACTTAAATCAGGGATCACGCTGGACGTTTTAGCCTGCAAAATACCTTCTCCTAATCCGGCTGCTCTGCATCAAAATAATTAATTAACAGGCTTGGTACGATATATGATTGCATACAGCTTAATTTTCTGTTGCACACACGGTCTGCAACACTCTGCACATCGACCATTCATCAGGTGACTTGTCCAGAATTCCATGTGATATACATAAGTTCAGAATATTAAAATATGTTTACAGACAGTAATCAAAAGTTTTTCTCTTAATTGAACCCACACGGCCGGTGCATCGCATTGCGCCAACTGGCCTTTGCAGACAATATATATTAGTTTAGAAACATGTAGGTAAGAAATGCTTTTTTTCTTTGTGAAACCGATCGAGATGTGCTATTGTCAACTAGCTATTTATTAATTTAATTACTGAAACAATTATTGCACTATGCAACTAAGAATTCAAGTTAAGGAAATTAAACAGATCATATACTGGCAATTATCGTTTTTTAAGGGGCGGACTGACAATAACATTATTACAACCAAATGTTTACTAGCATATAGCAGAACTCTTGTCAGCTTTGATCGATAACATGAAGCTTGACAGAGAGATCCAAGACTGCAAATGCAAAACAAAACCAAATTAAGTACTCCTACTTCAATTCACATGCACGCTTCATAGTTAAATTTCTTTAGAAGTTCTTTTCATCGAATTAAAATTAGGATACAAAATGGCTGACACTTGTGCTCAAAATCCTGATTGATAGAGTGGCTCCATATTAATACTGCATTGGGATATTACGTTAAATTTGTTTGCTTACAAATACTATATATGACGAATACTGACGGTCTAGCTAGGGATCGAATAAACATGAATTTTTCATCTCTAGTATATTTTGTCAGGCTGCATTGCATGCTGCAACCCCTGCAGCTGCAGAACATATAATCCAGCTAAGATTCTCATTACTGCTGGGGAAACGAAGTTAATTAGTAGTAGCAGTTAACTTTTGTATATAGCTTGGTCAACTATGCTTAATTTAGTTTACATATACTACTATATGGGTAATGTGTTGTGGTCATCCACTTCCCTAATCCCTATAGCCCCTAGCTTAGTCGTCGATTGTTCCTGTAGGCTGCGACATGCGTAGACTGACTGAATGCGATGCGACAAAGACGCATCAGCAACCAACTAAACGGTTTTTGTTCCTCACCCTAGTAGTAGGGGAAAGGAATCTAACGGTAGCTGTCTTATCCCCTGCTTAGTTTAATTTAATTACTGCTTAATTACATTGGATCCAACCCCCTGCACTGTCGGATTCAATTCAGCACTTGTACAGCTCTAGATCCCCCAGCAGATAGATCAGCAGATACCAAGTTGATTGTTGTTAAATATATCAAAACTGCAGGTGTTGATCGATCATTCGTTGGAGTAGAGGTGCTATCCCATCAGATGTTTAGGACAAAACGAAGGGGAATAGAACTCTGGGTACTTGACAAAGGGCCTGTTTAGGGGAGCTTGTCCCAGCTGTAGCTTTTCCCAAAAACTGCTTCTGCTAGAAGCCGCCCCAAACAATCCACAGCTTCTGAGAATCCATAGTTACAGATTCTGAAAAATGAACTAAAAAGCAAGAAGCTGAAGAAGCTAGGTTTCAGAGCTTTTTTAGATTCTCAGAAGCTGGCTACCAAACAGCTGCTTCTCAGAATCTAAAACTCCCCCAAACAGACCCAAAAACAGCTGAGTAAAGTTATTTTTATTAACCAAAGTTTCACAATGAACTAGGACAAGCCTAACCTTCCACATAATACATATATAATTGCCATTGTTGCATTTTGAGGGACTTAATTTTAGCCAAGCCATGAAGCCGCAACTGATGGTGCATCATGCGAGATAAAGGATTGGTATGGCAGCAATTGAGTATCCTCATCACGCGAGAAAAAAAGTTTCTTTGGTATTTCATACAAAGTAAGTTAAAAAAAGAACTTTTTTTTGGGTATTTGGTGGTAAGGACTTCGGTTGTGGTGGACACCAGCCCTCGAATCCATTCTCATAACTTAAGAAGCAAAATGCAAAAATTACAGCATAACCCATGTCGTTCTTGGGCCAAAGCCAACATGGCAGCTCAAGCTGTCTAACCCCGGTCCAAAGTATAAATTAAAGATGGTAAATATATGTGATGTTAAATGAAAAGATTGGTTTACTTCTAATCCATTGTGAAACTTCAGCAAATAAAGATAGCCCAAGATAAGTACTCAAAACAAGATTAGTGCAAATATGGAAAAAGGAAAAAAAATAGATGGTACTATTTACGTCCCAAAACTTATATTTTGGGTAGAGGAGACGAATTGAATGATGAATCACCATGTATATATTAAAGTTATCAGTGTTACACATTTAAAAGTAGAGGTAGTAATACCATAAATAGTTGATATAACCAACATCTGCATCTTCAAATTTCAACTTTTTTAACTTAAGCTGTATATCAACTTTTTTAACTTAAGTTGTATTTTAAATTGAGTTTTCTTTTGCACATGCTTTGTTAACTCAAACATGATCATTACCTGTTGTATATCATTGAAACCACACAAAATCTCTTGTTCCACTTAGAACATTAATTTGGTTTTGGAACAGATCCAGTTAATTAATTGATACAACTAATGAGTGGTAATTATGAAGTGGAATTCATTTGGCAGTTGAATTCAATTCTAAGTTGATAAAGACCTGCTCAACCTTTTATTTTTTTAAAACACTAATTTGGGAATATTTTTTGGCAAAGTAATACTCATTACATAGCAACGTGTTGATCAATGGATACATTTGATTTCCAATATTCTCCGGCTGCATATAGGCTCCCCTGTTCCATAGGAAGGTTTGACTACAACATATTATATCTGGGGTACTAAATAAATAAATGTGCAATGAAACCACATGGTTGGTGATGCAAGTCAACCCCAGTATTACACAGCTGCTAAACTGTTGAATTTGCAAGCTAAGCTACTTAATCTCCATATAATAGTCTTCTTCCTCTACTCTAGCAAATTAAATTAATTAATTAAGCTATTCTCCATTTAATCCAGCTAGATCACTACCGACAGAAACTGCCCCCAAGCTGAGGCAGCCTCATGACCCACTGACACCTTGGCCCCACCATTACATGCTCTGCATTAGATCCTTCTGTTGGACACCCTATAATCAAATGATTAGCACCTGTAATTAACTAAGACAGTGTAATTAACTAAGTTGTGGTCCGACCAGGTTAACGTGTGGTCAACGACGAGAGGTCAGCCATGGCGCTTTGCAACACCATAAAAAGGGCAGCACCCGCGAGATGACGACGAGGAGACGAAGCAATTCAAACAGCCAAGAAGAAAGAGGAAGAAGGAGCTCGCGAGATCGCTAGCTAGCCATGGTGGCGGCGATGACAATGTGCGCCGCGGTGGCGGTGCTCCTCGTTCTGACGTCGACAATGGCGGCCGCCGCCGGCGATGGCGATGGCGATGGCGGTGGCTTCGACTACAAGAAGGCGCTGCACAGCGGGCTGCTCTACTTCGAGGCGCAGCGGTCGGGGCACCTGCCGTACAACCAGCGGGTGCGGTGGCGCGGCCACTCGGGGCTCGCCGACGGGCTGCAGCAAGGGGTGGACCTCGTCGGCGGCTACTACGACGCCGGCGACAACGTGAAGTTCGGCCTGCCCATGGCGTTCACGATGACGATGCTGTCGTGGGCCGCGGCGGAGTTCTGGGACGAGATCGCCGCCGCCGGCGAGCGGCGGCACGTGCTGGAGGCCATCAAGTGGGGCACCGACTACCTCGTGAAGGCGCACACCGCCGCCGACGAGCTGTGGGCCGAGGTCGGCGACGGCGACACCGACCACTACTGCTGGCAGCGGCCGGAGGACATGACGACGTCGAGGCAAGCCTACAAGGTGGACCGCGACAACCCCGGCTCCGACGTCGCCGGCGAGACCGCCGCCGCGCTCGCCGCCGCGTCCATCGTGTTCCGCCGCTCCAAGCCCCGCTACTCCCGCCTCCTCCTCCGCCACGCCGAGCAGCTGTTCGACTTCGGCGACAGGTACAGGGGCAAGTACGACAGCAGCATCGGCGAGGTGAGGGCGTACTACGCGTCGGTGAGCGGCTACGGCGACGAGCTGCTGTGGGCGGCGCTGTGGCTGCACCGCGCCACCGGCCGCCGCGGCTACCTCGACTACGCCGTCGCCATGGCCGACGAGCTCGGCGGCGTCGGCTGGGCCGTCACCGAGTTCAGCTGGGACGTCAAGTACGCCGGCCTCCAGATCCTCGCCGCCAAGGTGCTCATGGACGGCGGCGACCACCCGGCGGCGCACGCGGCAACGCTGGAGCAGTACAGGTCCAAGGCGGAGCACTACCTCTGCGCCTGCCTCGGCAAGAACGCCGCCGCCGGCGACAACGTCAACCGCACCGCCGGCGGCATGCTGTTCGTCCGCCGCTGGAACAACATGCAGTACGTCACCAACGCCGCCTTCCTCCTCACCGTCTACTCCCGCTACCTCCGCGACTCCGGCGGCGACACCATCCGGTGCTCCGGTGGGGCTATGGCAACCGGCGACGAGTTGGCGGCGATGGCGAGGGCGCAGGCGGACTACGTGCTGGGCGACAACCCGGCGGGGGTGAGCTACATGGTCGGGTACGGGCGGCGGTTCCCGCGGCGGGTGCACCACCGCGGGGCGTCCATGGTGTCGCACCGCGCGGACGGGCGGTTCGTGGGGTGCGTGCAGGGGTACGACCGCTGGTTCCGGCGCGGCGGCGCGAACCCGAACGTGGTCGCCGGAGCCATCGTCGGCGGGCCGGACGACCGCGACAGGTTCAGGGACAGCCGCGACAACTACATGCAGACGGAGGCGTGCACGTACAACACCGCGCCCATGGTCGGCGTCTTCGCGCACCTGCACGCCCAGAAGATGGCGGCGAGGACTGCTAATAATAATGCCGATCGATCGATGATTAAACGAGTGGATTGAACACCAAGAATTTTAGTTGATTATTAGGAGGGGTTTTGGTTGGTTTTTGGGTTAAGGTTTAATTTGGAGTGTTAGAATTTTGATTAGGGATGTGTAGGTTTGTGGCATTGTTGCATGGCTGAATAGGCCGGCACTGTAAGTTTGCATGTGTAGCTATTTTTTGCATTTAGTAGTAGTGTGTATGTAATTGCATGTTGAAATAGATGAAGTTTTTGTTACAAAAGAAAAAGGGGTTTTCAAGGGATTTGTATGCTTCAAAACTCAAAACATATAAAAATGGCAGTTCCGTTATGGAAGAGAAAAATTTTAGAATCTTCCAATTGCTCGTCATAACTGACCATGCATATGGTATCTGAATTCCGAAAGCAGAGACATACATACTCACAAAATTCCGATGTATCAATCTGGAAATCTGCTGCCTATTTAAACATAGACCACAAAACATGTTCATGAAAGAAAAGAAAAAAAAATCTCTGTCTCTCCGGATTTGAGTCCTAACATGCTGCAGCCTGCATCTGCATGCATAGTTGGATAAAAACCCAGATCGACTAAAACAAAACAAAACCGGATCTGGACGTGCATTTGAACCGTTTTGGACCGGGTGAACCGGACGGTTTTCAGGACCGGACCGGACGTTAAACCGGTGAAGCCGTCGGTTCACGGTTTGCATGGTCCGACCGGTTGGACCACCGGCTCAACACGGGTCAAATAGATTCACATATTTATTAAAATCGTCAACGAGTGCATAGCTCAGTGGTTGAAGATTGCTGAAAGCACAGGTCGGTAGTTCGAGTACACCGCGCGTCTCTTTTTCCCTTAATTTTCTCCTCTCTCCCATCCCACGTTCCAGCTGCATGTTACCGGTTTATTCTCCCGTCTAATGTCCGGTTTTTCTCCGTATCATACCTAAAACCGGCGGTTCAACCGGATTTCCTCCGGTTTGAATGCATGGCCGATCTTTTGACTGGACCGGACCGGTCTTAATAACTGTGGTTTTGGCCCGTCTCCTCAAGTGAATGACAGCCATTGGCCATTTTTCTTTTCTGAAACTGAGCACCCTGCAATTTTTCTTCAAATTCTGAACTACTTACTCCCTCCATTTCTAAATATTTGACGCCGTTGACCTTTTTAAATCTGTTTGACCGTTCGTCTTATTTAAAAAATTTAAGTAATTATTAACTATTTTCCTATCATTTGATTCATTGTTAAATATACTTATATGTATACATATAGTTTTACATATTTCACAAAAATTTTTGAATAAGACGAACGGTCAAATATGTGCTAAATAGTCAACGGCGTCAAATATTTAGAAACGAAGGGAGTACTTTGCAGTCAAGGCTTTAACTCAACAGGATATTCTACAGTGCATTTCCAAGGCCACAAGCGCTACTTCTGAAACATTGAACCTACTAATTCTAAGGTCAAAGTAAAAGACATGACAGATCATAGCAAGTCTTTCTGAAACTGATCAAGATGCCACTGAGAAATGCTCATGAAGTTTCAGCAAATCGTCAGCTGCCTAATGGTGCAGTGGTTCCTCACATGTGGTATGTTTGTATGAAGGGTCCATGTATGATTGGGAGAAGATAACATGATGCAAATTATTACTGAAGGCTAATGATCAGCACTATTATGGACTGTTCAAGTTTTCAACCATCTGCACATGCACGCAGAATTATCTCCAGGGTTTTTATTGAAGTTATGTTTGACTATCTACATATACCATGTTCCATGTACATGCCATCTTTCAGATCTGTAGCAGCTGTCTGCACTTTGTGGTGTTCTAAGGGATCATGCTTCAGACTTTCAGTACAGAGCTTTGTAGATTCCTCAGCTTCGGCTTGAGCTTGTGTTATTTATATACACCTTGTATGCAAACTATGTAAGATTGACAGAACATTGTCAGATATGCGCGCGTGTAGCTGTGTATCCGTGGAAGGGCATTGATTTAGTGTCATGAATGGATAGATCTCCTGATGGGACTCTGCAAAATTCATCAGTTATCGTCTTCGATGTGGCTGGTCTCCAAGACATAGTCCCTCATGAGCTTTGTGTTGGCCTCATCAACCATCTGCAGACAATGGAAGAACAAAAATTAGGTAAACAATGGAATAAACACTAGCAGCTAGGTGCATTAGGCAGGACTGTTCTCAACTTCCTACTTAGGAGACTTCACGAGGTCCTGTTCTTTTCAGCTCATTCACCGAGTTATTGAAACAGATTATTTGCTTCACGCTTTGAAATATGTTTTCTCAAAAAAAAACTTTCTTCTACTTATATTGATTAGACCACAATTTTAAGCTATTTATTAAATTTATTTTCTTAAATATCTAATTTATTCCTTATAATCAAGTAGATAATCCACACAATAATCCACTTAATAATATTCATAAGTGCCTTGCGCCTCATATGGCCATGGCATGATTGGAAGTTGTCTGATAAAGCATGGGTGGGATCTAGTACACCATATGACGACATCGACAAGCTCCTCTTTGCTGCAACAACCACCATAAAAATTGGAGACGGGGCAACTACTAGCTTATGGGAGTTGGCCTGGTGGGAAGGGAGGTTGAAAGACGTGGCGCCGCTAGTCTACTCAGCCTCAAAGAAAAAGAACCTATCGCTCCAACAAGCACTGCGGTCAAATCAGTGGCTACTCGACGTGACCCTTCCAACGGATACAGGATAGACAACGGAACTGATCGACCAACTTGTAGTGATATGGAGCACTACCTAGACAGTTGAGTTGTCCGAGCATGAGGAGGACAAAATAACATGGAAACTCAACAATCACGATGAATACACGACAGCGTCGGCATACAATGCGCAACTTCTCGGCACAACGGCCACCAACTTCAACACCCTAATTTGGAAACCTTGGGCCCCACGAAAATGTAAAACCTTCGTCTGGCTGGTCATTCAGAACATAGTTTGGACTTCAGAAAGACTAACTACTAGGGGGTGGTCGAATGGCTCCGTCTGTCCTCTGTGTCGCTAGGCCCAGGAAACGGCCCTCCACCTCTTGGTGAATTGCCGCTACACAAGGTGAATTTGGGAGGCTATGGCGAACTGGGTGGCATGTAGTAACTTGCACCCTAACCCGAGGCAGCAAGCTTCGTCAATCCTAGAATGGTGGGAAATAATCACAAGCACCAAAGAAGCCCCCAAGAAGGCCCTCCGTTCGTTGACACTTTTGGTCATCTGGGAGATTTGGAATGAAAGAAACCGTAGAACCTTTCAGCAAAAGGAACTCTCGTCGAATGGCTTGCTGACGAAAATCAAAGAGGAGGCCAGAGAATGGATCTTAGCAGGAGCATAACATCTGGGAAATTGGCTTATAACATAGTTTGTTAGGACCTTTGGTCCTGTTTTTCCATTTATACTGTACAGTTTACTCCTCTATTAAATAAAATTGGTGGCTCGCTAATTCGTTCAAAAAAATAAATCAATCAAATAGGATATTAGTTAAGTTAACCAGAAAGGGAAGAAATATATGGTAGTTTTTTTTCTGTCTGCAAAATACAGATAACTAAAATGGAATATTAATCTGACCTTGAAAGATAACCTTTTCAGATTATCCCACTCGAAATCATGCTTGACATAAGCAGATCGGACCTGCAATTGTATTAGTTAATCCGGCGGGAGAAAGGTAATCAAAAGGTTTAAGTTCAGAAGATGACATTGGTAGTTGGTGACAGTGCCCACCTCCAAGATCCTCATTGCTGTCCCCAGGGTGAAAACAAGATATTAAGACGTCAGTAATCTTTATGGCAGAGTTGATCATTCACGTAAGGTGGGAATTGATAAGATTAGAAAAACTCAGGAACGAAACATGGCAGGATGCAAATTAAGTTCAAAACTATTTCAGGAGTTCAAATAAGTGTTTTATCATCATTACCTAGCTGCTTGTGCCTTGGAGACTCGCGGATCAACTTCTTGCAGAAAGTATCAGCGTCGTTGAGGGAGTTTCGGTTCACGAAATCCATCAGCTCACCATATGCTTCCCGGTTGTAACTCTTTATTGATGATACAAACACGATAAACAAAGAGCTATCTAATCAGATCTCCAGCAAGACATAATATCTCTCTCTAAAGAAAAAAAAGGAACGAAGATAACTTGTGTATCAGAGTGTCACAAAGCATTATGTACAAAGTTTAGAGCTATTCTCTCCATCCCAAAACAAACAAATATAGTATAATAAGATGCTCAGAACCGTAGTTGTGTCATATTCTGTGCTAGTTTGTTTATTTTAGAACGGAGGGAGTAACATTAGATACAACTTAACAACATTTGTTATTCCTTTTTATGCCGGTTGAATTTTAGGATGAAACTTTGGAAGGAAGCAATGAGAAGATAAAATAGATGGAATGAAGAGTAGGTACCTCAAGCTGTGTGAGCACAACCCTGACAGCAATGTAGTTGAAGAAGTGCTGCAGGTTTCTTGCTGCCTTCTTCTCCGGCGATCCCTCTCCGAAGCCTGGACCGACAAACCCAAACCCACACCACATGTAAGTAAGCCCACACAATGGCACAAATCCAAACCCAAGAGGCCCAAAACATCAAACGCTGGCCCAGCTTACGTCTCTCTCATCTTCATTTTCGAGGTTAAACGTGTCTCTCCTTTTTATAAACAGGAAAACTCATTTTTGTCACCTAAGTGGATGTACAGTTATTCTTCACATGTGTTTTAAATGGTTATGAAAAATTACAATAATAATAATAATACAGATAATTGTGTGGTGTATCACTACACCAACATGTAAATACGTAACAAGTTGAAGAAAAATAACAAATCTGGCTATGACTATGAATAGTACTAGTACTACTTAGGGTGTAGTAATTTGTTTTTTTTCTTATTGTGTGGATTAAATTTGAAATTATTTTTTTTCAGGATGACAGATGACTAATGTGATTAGCATATTTGAGGCAAACTGTTCCTTTAGTTTTGACAAGAAAACTCAATAAAACTGTTTCATGTCAAATTGCCAAAACTGGCTGGTGGTTCGAAATGGTTATGCAAAACTGACGCAAAGCAAGTAAATTATATGATTCTGTTTCAAACATTGCGACTAAAAAAATTAAATTGTTAATACTCTCTCTCCGTTTCATATTATAAATCATTTTAACTTCTCTTCATTCAATATTATAAGTCGTTTGGACTTTTTTTCTTAGCTAAATTTCTTTAGATTTGTCTTAAGTTAATAGAAGAAATTAGTAACATCTATAACATTAAATTAGTTTGATTATATATATAACATTAGATATTTTTAGATATTATGTTTGTTTTGGGATAGGAATATTACTATATTTCTTATAAACTTAACTTAAAAATATTACTATATTTTTTATAAACTTAACTAAATTTAAATAAGTTAAAAAAAGTTGAAGCTAACAGTATGAAATGGAGGGAGTAGTGGCGTAATTAAGAGGAGGGCAGACAAATAATTACCGGGTACGTACATCTTGCTGCACCGCGGCGGCGTCTCGAGGCTCGAGAAACGCCGGCGCCGGCGCCGGCGCACCTCAGTCCCCCACAACGGCCGCTCTTGGTCGAGGAGGAGGACACGCCGGCGAGCTCCGCCGCCGGCGGCGACTCCGGCGGGATGGAGGAGGGCGACGGCGGCGCAGCGAGGAGACGCCATGGCGGGCAGTCGCGTAACGATGCTCCCTCCCCGCGCAGTCGCGGCAGCCAAAATGCTGAGCGCCGGCAGCGAAGGAGATTGGTTGATATTTTCCGACGGCGGCTAAATCTGAGCCATTCGTTGCGGCCATCGGAGGATATTTTAGGCAGTAGATATTTGTTTTATTTTTCAGTGGGATTTCATTAATTTCCTGAAAAATTAGTATCTGCATGTGGGTTTGGAAACAGAGCATGTTTCATTTTATATTAACTAGGAATGTAGCCCGCGCGTTAGTTCGTTAAAAACATGCTTGACAAGTTAAATTGATATGTTTTTTTCATTCTTTTTAATTGAATGTTCACCGTCTTGCTCTTTTCTTATGAAATATTAAGAATTTATTAATTAATGAATATATTTTATGTGTATCAAGCTATCCTTACCTCTAGTCCATATGCATGTAAGTATATTAATTCTTGCACAACATCAATCTATCTATGATACGTGGCACCCATATGATATTTTTCTAAAAATACCTATTCAACAGGAGTAATAAAATGTAAATTTAATATGAAAAATATAACTTTTAAATATGAAAGGCCATCAATTATGCAATGCTATTAGTGGCTTATATACACGCAAGAGTAAAAACCCATGACACATTGGAATTTAGGATATCACATAATTATCATTGGCTCTTGTCTCTTTATATATGTGAAGGTAAATATGACTCATTTAAAACATATATAAAAAATTAAATAAAAAAATATTGTTAGGACATAAAATGAGATATTTTGTATAGTTAAGGGAGTACACTGATTTAAGCTCGGTGTAACTGATCTATATAATAGTATGAGTAAAAGCATTGTGATGAATATAATTGTTCAAACGATTAAAAAAGTTGGATAAGAGACTTAAAATTATTTGTGCTAATATGTGATAGTCCGTATGTGAAATAACATTAGCAATGCATGCTAGATATTATAACTCATTCATTGTGTCCTGCTCTGATGCTGCTAACTTTCTATTTCTTTTCTCAAAGTATTGCATTTTTTCCATTGCTAAAATAAAAAGTTTCGTGAGGTCCAATTTAATTGTGCGATGTGGAATACAACCCATATGCCATTTCATAAAGATTGTGCGAGGCTCCACGTAGTTCGATGGAAATATGATTTGATGTCTAAACATAACTGCTCACGTGTCATTGCTTTTAAAATGTAAAATTTTTGTTGATATCATAGATTGAATATTTTTCTATAAAATTATATTAGAGTTATAATTTATTTGCTCCAAACTGACCTTTTTTTTAATAATTTTAGCTAGCTTGTAGTGGGCATAAATTAGTGCTTATCATCTTTCCACTTCTAAATTTGTGTTACATAGTTAGGCATTTTTTATGTTCGTGCCAATTTATTATGTCTGCTACAATCATATATATAATTATACACTTAACCCTCACTAAGTATAGTTAATGTTATTTTTCTCATCTCTCAATTTCTAGCACCTCGATGATTAGTCTGGTCGAAAGCTCTCTCTCTTGTTTCTTCTTTCACAAAGCCATACCACCTTAGTTTTGTCTTATGATGTTGAATCTATATTTGATCTAAATTTTCAAAGCACATAATCTTAACTGTGTTTATAGCTTTTGTGGATGATTAACTAAAGATGCAAACTGTACAAAGTAACATATAAGATTACGTTATTTAGCTACGAAATAAATTTATTTTGTACTATGTTTCTGTCATTATCATACATCATTTATGCGGTAACGTTGCCTTATACAGGGTTTTATCTAATTAGGTTAGTTGTGACTTATTTTTCTTGATTATCATCTCATGCTATGTTAAGCCATACTTCCTCCATGCATGATACGATCAAATTTCCTTGTTCTGTTCATTGGTCACGTCAAACTTTGTTTGTGCTTATTCATTGATGTTTCATATCTTAATTTATATGCAGTGAACATATACAAAAATTGATTTCGATGGACTGCAACACTGCATTACGATTAGGCTGGAAGATTTTATCATAAGAATGATCTCTTTCTCTCTCCCTCATTAACGGAACACACGCGCGGAGTATGTGTGGTTGACTCATGGATAGCGTCATCAAGTGACAGAGCACGGTGTCATCTTGAATTTTTTAAATAGGTTAAGATTAAGATTAGATCTAGTGATTGAAAATATTGGCCCTACCAATTTAAAGAAAAAAATCAATGGTTAGATGTTTTTCTTTTTTTTTCTTATAATTTCTGTGTTTTTTTTTCATAATTTATTAGAGTACCATATGGTGGTTTAGGAGCGTTTGTCGAATTGCCACGTGGTGATTTAGGAGCGTTTATAGAATCTAAATTTAATATTTGTGTAATATGGTGCTTAAAAATCTGCTCTTAAAACATTTATATTAGAAGCCTGAGCTATTTATATGTAAATGGATTCATCAATTAAAGTTGAATAGTTAAATTAGAGAAAGAAGGAAGGAAAGTGGGAGGGATGTATGTACGTAGTCACCGTGAGGGGGAGGAGGTCCAGGAGGAAAGGGCGGTGGAGATGATTTTTTATGGGTTTTGGGATTTTTTTTAAAAGATAGATCTGACGATATAAAATATTGGGTCCACCGTATTAACTGAAAATCGATGGCTAGATGTATTTCTTTTTTTCTTATAATTTCTTCGATTTATCTGATTTATTGAGTGGCGGTTGTTGTAAATAATCGACACATATAAGGGCAGCCACGTGGCATGATGGTCCATAATTGGCACCTATAAGTCGGTATAGGTGCCGATTATTGGTACAAAACCGGCACCTATACATATTATAGGTGCCGATTTTATAATCTAACACCGATGACTGAAGTCATACGTGTCATTATCTGGGTGTCTTTTAGAAAAACCGGCATGTAAAAGGGTTTCTTGTTACCTATGTTGTAGTTGAATGTGCTCCCAGTAAAATTATTGATTTAACCCCAGTCCACCTGGTCATCTTGTATGAGCACAGCTACTAATTAAAATCTTTGTGATTAGCCGGCTGGTTTGCAAGCTCATTGGATGATTTTCAAGCAACAGTGTAGAAGAAAAAAAAATATCGATGTTTTTTTTGTCACAACTCCGTAATAAAAAAAACGTTCTCAAACTACTGGATTGACGTATGAAAACCAAGCAGTTTTTATGGTTTTATTTATCGGTAATATTGGTTCACAGTGATGACCCCACATCCTTTTTTGTTTGGCTCCACCGCTGATGGCAGGTATAGATCTAATCTAACGGTACAGAATAACGGGCCCATCAATTTAAATGAAAATCGACGGTAAGATTAGACTCTGCCAAGTGGCGGCCTAGGAACGTTTGTAGGAGCACCACGTGGTGGCTTGGGAGCGTTTGTAGAAAGTTTAATAGACTTTTAGTTTATAATAGATAGAGAGATTGAGTATCCAGCTTTTCAGCAAGAGTTGAAATGGTGTTACTGAATCGAGTTCTCGAGTTGAAATGGCAATGACCAAACTCCAAGTCTTTAGTTTGAAAGGTTAAAATAGAGCACGGATTTTAGTGTTAAAATTCAAATATGTGAATTAAAAGTTGTGTCCAATGGAAGATCAATGAGCATGTTTTTCGTCGGTGCGTTTCAATGTAAATAATTTCCATATAAATGTTTTCTAAAATTAAATAAATTTATTTTTAAGTCTTTATAGTGCTTTAATATTTAACTAATCATACATTAATAACTCATCTCGTTTTGCGCAGTCTAAAATCAAACCCTGAACATGCCATAGTTAGTACTACCTCCGTCCTAAATTATAGGACGTCTCATTTTTTTTTAAAAAAAATAAATTTGGTAGCTTTTGACTAATAATCATACTAATTATATCTATACTAAGCATTATACTAAGCATTATACTAAGCATTATACATGTTATATCACTGGATTCGTATTTTGAAGTACTTTTATGTGATGCTAATTTCATATTTGTTAGGAACATAGAATATAATAAAATACTAGTTATTAAAGACCGTGCAAAAAATATAATCCTTATTAGAACAGATAGTACTTCCCCTATTCGTTTTTATCGATTCCACAGTATACAAGTCACTTTCTGATTGATCGTTGCATTTTGTCCCTTTGTTTCGTGTGCACACAGCCTTAATTCAATCGTTAGGACATGTATAAACTCTAGAGCATCTAAGAACTAACGTCTTACAACAGCTGAAACAATATGGTCTCTAATTATTAATGTACCAAAATATTTTTTTTACTCTTCTTATTTTTTTACTCCATCAAAGAATCCTCACTGCTAAAATTCTGCTAAAGAGACACTGGCCCTGTGATTGGATCTGTAGCCTTTGTAGAAATGCTTTCAAAAATACGACTCACTTACAGCAACAGTTTGGGACAAAGTTTGTCAATGGCAAGGACACGATTTAGCATCACAGATTTCCTCGACAAACAATTTGTCGAACTGGTGGGAGACACTCTGTAACCTTTCCCCGATAGCCAAGAGGAAGAAAATAATTGGAGATCTCATAACCTGGTGGAATGTTTGGCTAGAACGTAATCGCCGGATCTTCCAGCAAATCCATCGAAACGAAGAACAAGTTGCTTTCGCTGTAAAGGAAAATATAGGGCAGATCAATCTAGCTTCCCAGACCCTTTAAAGGAATGTGGTTATCCCTAGTTGCCAATCCTTTTCTCGAGATTATGTAATATGCTCTTTCTCGAGTTGTACCCTAATTTCTGTCTCTCCCTATGCTGTTTTTGCACGTTTGTTTATTCCTTTTAATATATTCGGCAAGTCTTACCGCTTTTCACCGTATTTCTCTTTTCTCCTCTTTCTTTCTTTCACATCACCAAATTTATTTGCATGACAATAGAGAAAGTCTACTAATAAAAACCGTTGTACGTGCCCTTAGCCATGCTTGCGTGAAAATCAGACGATGTTATGTTTCCCTAAGATAAGATTAGTACAGAAATTAAATGCATTATGAAGGTTTAAGCTCTCCTTGGTATCACTGAAAAGATATATACAATGATCATACACGAATGGAGGGAGTATTGCATGAAACACAATGTAAATGCTATTTTAAACCTTTATATTCCTTTTTAGAAGCATGCCTGTTGGAGTTTTTCATATT